AGGCTTGTGATGTCATGCTCTGTTTAGGAGGTTTTCATAGCATCTTACTGTTTCAAGATTAACCCTTTTTATTCCTGGTAGTAATGTGGATTGTACCTAGAGCCTCAGGCATGTTAGGCAAGTGCTCTACCACTGAGTTATTCTTAATTCTGAAGATTTAATGAAAAAAAACATGACCAAATTAATTAAAGCAAGCTTTTTTATTCATGTACACAGGCTGCCTCCCCCTAAGGTAGGGTTTGAGAGCTCAGCATGGCATGTAAGGAAGATAAGGTTTTTATAGCTCAGGGGTAGGGCTTTCCAAATGAGGGATTTGGCAGGCAAAATAGGTGGGGTTATAGGAGCAGAGCATAAGCATAGCAAGTTAGTCATAATGGCTCCTGAAAGAAAGACATAGTATAACAGTATAACAAGGTGGCCACAACAGCCTTTGAAACAAAGGTAGGTTGCAAGATGGTTATAACAACTTTTTGACACAAAGACATGATTGCAAGGTGGTCTTAAGGTAGTCATAACAACAGGTAGTCATAATAACCTTTTGAAACAAAGATATGGTTGCCATTTCCTGGAACAGAAAGTTCAGAGCCATTTGTTACAGGAGGAGTCCTTGAGAAGCAGGTTTAATGATAAACAGGAATGAGCCTAGTTTGTCTTTACTATAAGATGGCTTTTAAGCTTAATATGGAGGCAGGCTGTTTCCTCATTACTACTCTAGCCTTTTTAATGAATGCTTTTAGCCATGGAATGCTTCATGGCATACTTGCTATGGACCATAGTCATACCACTGTAACTGTTAGTTTTCTAGGTCTTGGTTTACCCACTGGTGTCTCTAGACTTTCTTTTTATTTTATTTTTTGCATTTCTTTTTTTTTTCTCCAGTTTTTATTTGAATTAGAAACAAGATTGTTTTACATGTCAATCCCAGTTCCCTCTCACTCCCCTCCTCCCTTGCCCCCCCCACTAACACCCTACCTACCCCATCCCCTTTCTGCTCCCTAGGGAGGGTGAGGCCTTCCATAGGTGGTCTTCAGAGTCTGTCATATCTAGACTTTCTAAGTTCCTTGAGGGCTTAGACTTGAGACAGAGACTTGAAGTGCCTGGCATACAGCAGGTACTCAGAAATCATACAGCAGGTGCTCAGTAGTTGCTCCGAGTCTGAATGAATGAAAAAGAGCATGAGGGGCATTTTACATTCGTGTGGTGTGTATGTGTTCATTTGTGTGCACACATGTGTGCAGGCGTCAACATCAGCTGTCAACCTCAGTTGGTCCCTGCCTTATTTTGTGAGACAAGGTCCCTCACTGAAGCTGGGGTGCAATGTTTTCACTGTGGTGGCTGGCCAGCAAGCTCCTGGAATTTCTCTCTCCATCTCTCCAGTGCTGGGATAACAGACACATGCTGTCATGCCTGACTTTGTGAGGCAGTTGGGGATCTGAACCCAGGGCCTCATGCTTGTGTATCAAGCAGTTTTCTGACTGAGACATCCCCCCAGCCCTCTTGTTTTACAGTTTGTATTCCCCTCCATCCAGAGCTCACCACACCTATTTTTATCTTGGAGGTGGGTGTTTTTCCAGCAGAGAAAGACAGAGTGTGCCATGAATTATGGATTCCATCTGATCCTCGTTGAGACAATCTGAATATTTTCCCTGTGGGCGCTTGAGTGAACCAAATTAGCCCCATGCTTGTCAGCCTCCTCGCGCTCTTTGTGCTGCAGATGAAAGTCTAAGAAGTGAAAACTGAGACTCTCTTGACCTTTTCAAGTCTTCAAATAATGATTTTCTAGACAGATAAAACTGAATTGCTATTGGATCTCAGTTTGGGAGGAAGGAGGATGGCTGTTTAGGGGCTACGTGGTCTGTTCATTGCTTCATTTCTCCTCTCCTGCTCGATGGTGGAAATTCAAACCCTGATGGTCAGATTAGGTGGTTATAAGCTCCTGCCCCTTGCCTCCTGCAGCAGATGTGAGAACTGGCTTATCTCCAGCTTCAGGTGAGGAGGTCGATGATGGGAACAATTGAAGAAAAAAATGAGGTAATAAGATCCTTAAACTAAAGGTGCTTTTGAATTGTTGAGAGAGAGAGAGAGAGAGAGAGAGAGAGAGAGAGAGAGAAATTCACAGCCATAACCTAACTGAAGAAGAAGGAAAAAACAAAGCAATGATACTCACACTAAGCATCCCAGACATACAGCAAAGGGCTGCCTGCATGCAGCAGAGCAGAGGGCACTGTAAGGACCTTTTGCATCACTGCTGCTGTCCTGCCAAACTGCTTGTCAATCACCCCTGTGAGCTAGGATCTGCAGGGGAGCCGCCTGGTAACCAGGACACACACAGCCTGTAACCTTGCACACTCGGGCTTGTGGCTGGCCTGGGATGCTCTACCACAGGCCAGGTGGAGCAGCCCCTTCAAGGGGAGAAGAGGACTGATGACGTCTGGAGATCAGGGGCTACTGCTGGCAGCACATATTTGCTACATCACTTGGGGAAGTAACTGCAGCCACTGGCTGAGTTCTCAAGAGAGAAACATCAGGCGTTTGGAGATCATTCAGTTGGTAAAGGGCTGGCTGTGCAAGCATTAGGACTAGAGGGAGATCTATCCCTAGAATCCACACAGAAGAAAACCAGGCATGGTAGTGCTCACCAGCAACCCCAGTACCAAGGAGAAAACGATAGGTGGGAATCCTAGAAACCACTGACTGATCATTGTAGTCTCTGGCTTCGTGAGTTCTAGGCCACTTTTGTCCCAAAAACAAGGCAGTGCCTGGAGAACAATGGTGAGGCTGACCTCCATGCATACATAGGTAGAAAACACACATACACACACACACACACACACACACACACACACACACACACACACAGAGAGAGAGAGAGAGAGAGAGAGAGAGAGAGAGAGAGAGAGAGAGAGAGAGACATCAGTAACTGGGAAGAAAGGTAAGGTCATCCTAACACATGCAGTCTGCTTTTCCGTAGGGTCAGGCCCTCTTCAAAGCATTGTTTATCCGTGAATCCATGGTTACTGGGCACCACAATGTTTTAGGGAAATGAAGACTGGTAGGGCAGGTAGAAAATCTAAGTCCTCTGAGTTAAATTTAGAGCTGAACACAGTTATAGACTTGTGTTCCCTGTGTCTGCTCCTTTGTGTAACTATTTCTCTCACTGTGTAGCTTTTAAACTTGTGTGCTGTGTCACACAAGGGACTCATGGATGCTTGGAGGGCTCTCTACAATGGTACACATGCACCATCATGCGCATGTACTCGTGCACACACACACACACACACACACACACACACACACACACTCACACAATAAATACATTTGATCTTTACACACTTTTAAGTACAGCGTTTTCCTTCCAACAAAGCTGTTCTGCAGAGACCTGGCATCTCTGTCAGATCCATGCAGGCTTTCTCTAGGCAAGAGCAGTCAGGGAGCCCAGAGTCCACTGTTTGGTTTGCTGCAAGACCTTGGGGAATTTTTATACTACTGATTAAATTCTTCTGTGGGTCCCATGTTAGGAGACAGAGTAATTACCGTGTGTGAGACGAGAAGCTTGGGATGGAAGAATGAACTAGTTAGAGACAGTCCTTTCACTTAGTGAGCTTAGAGTCTGGTACAGGTGCCAGTCCAGGATATATAAAAATACTGTCAGCTTCTGTATCTCTGAGTCCCACATTTATAGTCAGCCAATTGTGGATGAAAAATATGTGGGAAAAATTGTGTAAATACTGAACATGCATAGATTTCTATTTTGGGGGTACTATTTCCTAAACAATACAGCATCATAATTTTCAACATAGCAAATAATAGATACTGTGATTAATACAGAGATGAGTTAAAGTATATAGGAGGCTTGTTTACGTTGTATTCAAATACTTTTCCCCTTTACATAAGGAATTTGAGCATCTGTGGAATTTGGTAGTTGCCAGGGTCTTGGAGCCAGTATCCATGGATACTGATGGGGGAACTGATGAAAATTTGAAACTGAAATCTTGCTTAGTGCAAGAGGAATATGACATTGTGTTTTGGGAGATAGAATTGGTTAAACTGATGTACAAATTATGTCTTCTCTGAGGGAATAACCCCAGCCATTGCAGAGGGAAGCTTCCAGAAGGCTAAAGGTACAAAACTGCACTTGGAGAGCCATGAGCAAACCATAGCTAGACATATAGGAAGTTTCTGGTGATTTAGATAAGGGTTAGAATAAACAAAGCTTATGTATACATGTCTTAAAGATGTTCTTTATTAAAACATGGTAGAACAGTTGGTGAAATGTTTGCCTAGCTGCATGAAGCCTTGAGTTTGGTACTCAACACCACAAAAAACAGGTATGGTGGTACACACCTGTACTCCTAGTACTTGGGATGTAGAGCCAGAAGTAGAGCTAGTTTAAGTCCAGCATATTGTGGGGACTTCAACTGGAAGCCTTCTACTCTGAAGTGGATCTTGTGTGTTGGTGAGGAAGGGCAAGAGAGCTGGAGAGATGGTATATATATATATATATATATGTATATGTATATGTATATGTATATGTATATGTATATGTATATGTATATGTGTGTGTGTGTGTGTGTGTGTGTGTGTGTGTGTGTGTGTGTGTGTGTAGTGTGTGTCTGTGCATCTGTGTGGTGGCAAAAGCACATGGATGGAGACCAGAAGAGGGTGGCAGATCGCCTGGATCTGGAGTTTTAGGCAGCTGTGACCCATCTGACATGGGTATCAGGAACAGAGCTCAGTCCTCTTCAAGAGAAGCATATACTCTTAACCAGCTGGCTGCCTCTTCGTTCCTGAGATTGTGTTTTGAAAGAATGTTTGCATATAATAGGTGTTCATTGGTGAGCAAATGCCAAGAGTTAAAATCAGTACTCAAAAGATTAGCCAGCTGATTTGAAAATGATGGGAGATGTGCTTTTCCTCGGGGATCAGCGTCTGGGGATACAGCTGTAGTAAGACGGGATCTCTGTAAATTCTGGCATTCTTATCGCTCTCCATATTGCTAGCATTTCTCCTAGATTACACTTGGAACTCTGTACAAGGCTCTTGCTGTCTTATGCTGGGAAATCTCTCTCTCCTGCTGATAAGATTAAAGAGCTGACTCTCAGGATGCTTAGCCAGCCGGCAAGCCTGCAATCAAGGTGACACCCTCGGGGACCTTGACTGTTGGGGTTTGGGAAGGAGTGACAGCAGCAGGGAAGGATTCTTCTAGAGGCTCCAGAAGCAGCTTGAGTAACAGAGAGAAAAGAGGCACAGTGTGGGAGAGAGAATGTGTTGCAGTGCCTTGTCAGCTGGAGAGAGGCAAACAGCATGCTCGGGAATTCCAGTGTTGGTTGCACAGGGGAACAAGGGGAAGAGCTTTGCAATCACAGGATGGACTGCCTTTCCAAACTCTCTCACAGAAGGACCGTCTTTCCACCCCAGGTACATTATTATCTCTATTCTTCTACTTAAGAGTGATATCAGATTGACATCATTTGGGGCAAGTCTTTGCTTTTTAGCTGCTCTGATGGAAATGAAGATATTCTAAGGACTCCTGTGCCCCTCCCTTTGGCTGTCAGACTATTGACACAATGGACCCTAAGAAGTTTGAATTTCCCCAGGAATCTCCTACTGGGAGAGGGAAAAAGGCCAAATCTAGTCCCCACCAGAAGGGATCTCGTTTTATGGGATGAGATTTCACACAGTTCTGACAACTTGTCAGACCACCTTGCTGGAGAGAGAAACCCAGATGATGATGATGGGTCCACTCAGTGTGGAGGAACTGTATAGGACTGCTTAGCTACGCATAAACTTCTTGCCTTCTATTCACCCCAGAACCCCAAAGATAGACTGGGGATGGGGGTGGGGCTTACTGGGCCTCTTTGTTCCTTTCCCCATTGAATAAACTTACTTTCTCTGCCTTTCATTACCGTCCCTTTAATTGGTCTGTTGAAGGAAGATGGCCGAGTCTAGTTTGTTAGGACTGCAGTGACTAGGCTGTGACCCCCCACAACTCCAGGAATAGTTTTCACCTCAGACAATGAGTGCCTCTTCCAGAGCAGACTCCCAATAAATGTTTTTTTGAGCTGAATAAATAATAAGACTGGGGAAGTAGCTCAATGGTAGAGCACATTGTTAGATTCCTGCTGCAGCCATTGGTGATGAAATACGAAACTGCGGTCCAACAACCCACGTGGAATTTTATTGACAAAAGGGAGGAGATGGGGGTGGATTGTTAGCCAATGCAAGAAGAGTCAGAGAGGAAGAGAGCGAGAGGCCGGGGGATTTGGAACTTTTAAAGGGAAGACCTCACAAGCCTGAGCTTTCACGCATGAGCAGAGTCCTCACGAAGGTCCATAAAGCATGATGAGTGCTAAATGTGAAGCTCGTCCCTATGCTGTGCCCTGCCCGTTGTCTGGGGGTAGGGTCAGCCTGGTTTCCGTCCTAACACACGTGTCTAGCATGAACTGGGTCTTAGGTTTAAGCCCGAGGCCTGGAAGTTAGAAAGAGCAAAGGGATTCCGATCTCTTTCCAACACACAGATTAAGTTCTCTTATGGAACACAGTGAGTTTCAACGCTAGCTTTGGAATGAACAATTTCATTATCCAAAACGATCTTGACTATAAAAGCAGGTTTTTTTTTGTTTTTTGTTTTATGACAAGTGATGGGAAAAAGGGAAACAAAAAAATGCAGAAGGGAAAGAATTTAAGAAAAAAAACAAAAGAAAGCATGTTTAAAGGAGCAGACAAGGAGGGAATGTACTGCTTTTTGCACTTACACAATTTAATGAGCATCCCACCATCCCACCATCATCTGTACTAATAGGAAAACACTGGACAGAGGCTGTAACCTAAAATGTATAATGGAAATACTATAATAATATGGTGTTAGGTGGGATGGCAGTGGATCCCATGGCAGGGAACAAACATGCCACCAGGCAGAAATTACATGCGAAGGAAGTTTTATTGGAAGGGAAGGGAGTGCGGGAAGGGAGAAAGGGGAGAGGGGAGGGGGGGTGAGAAAGAGAGGGGAGAGAGAGAGACAGATTTGTTTGCCTCCTCAGAGAAATGGTGGAAAGAGCGAGTGGGAGTAGGTGGAGCTTGTCTCTTAAAGGGACCTTTGCATCTGCATTCAGAGTCAGGGTACTAGTAGCCTACCTTTTGTGCAGGGGTGGGTGCTCTTTGCCAGGTCACCAAGGGTCAGGGCCAGGTGTGCCTGGATTACAATAAACACCTTTTCTTGAACTATGTCTCAGAGTATGAGGCCTAGAGAAACATTTATTCTACTAATAGATACAAAATAAGACATGCAGCCCCAGGCTTAGGAGCTCTGTACATTGAAAACAGTCTTTAAAGTACTGCAGAGCTAGCTCTGTGTTTTATAAGTCTGAGGAACTACCCAGGTTCGGATCCCCAGCACCCGTGTGGATGAACAAGCAGACATGGTGGTGGGTGTTTGTAATCCAGTATGGTGGAGGCAGAGACAAGCAGACCTCTGAGCTTACTGGCCAGCCTCTGTAGCTGCATTGGTGAGGTTCAGGTTCAATGAGATATGTGAAAAAAAAAAAAAAAAAAACAGGTAGAGAGGGATTGAAGAAGACACCTGTCTGCCTGTCTGTTTGTAGTCTGTATGTGCTCATACACACACACACACACACACACACACACACACACACACACACACACACACACACACTTTAAAAATCAATTAATTAGAACATCCAATTGCTTGACAGAACTTCAGAAAATTTGATAATAGCCTAAACGCCTTTTTACTGTCAGAAACAAAGCAGCAGAATTAGAGATCCAACTCTGTAAGCATGGCCCATGAAGAAACAGGGAATTACATTTTATCAGCTGAACTTCTTTAAAAATGGTTGTGTTTTATCTGTCTGGAAATGCTTTGCATTATCTACCATCCTGGGCAACAGTAATAAATAGAATGGTGATAAACTCAGTAATTATGGATGCTGTGGGTTCCTGAAGGTTTTCGAGGCTGGAGTCCACAGGCAGCGTTATCATCAGAGGCCATCGAACCAGGTAGAGTTTCTTTTCATGATGAATTTTCGGAGGACCTTGGTTGTCTTCCTTCTCCTCAGTACACCCTTATGGGAGATGGTGTGGCATAAAGGGTAAGTGTAGTGGGCTGTGGTAGTCAGAACTCAACAGTAAGCCCCTACCTATTGGTTAGCTTTGAAGCCCCAAGCAAGCCACCAGATTGACTTAAGCAAGCCTTGGGCTTCTTTTGCCTGATATTATTTTATCCTACAATGGACACAATCCCAAGAACACATTTAGATCCTCCCAATAGTCTTGTAGCTGTGCACACTTGTATTTCCTTTTGAAATTTATGGAAGAGATAATATTTATTTAGGCCATGGGAGATTATGTCTCTGTAAAATAACATGTGTAAAAGCCTGACATGTAGAAGCCAGCAGTTTGTGTAGGTCTCTCTCTCTCTCTCTCTCTCTCTCTCTCTCTCTCTCTCTTTTTAATCACAGCCTGCCTGGTCCAAGCAGGGAAGGCTGCTCGTCTGTGGAATAGACTTCTGGGAGGCCCTCTCCATTGTTCTGATTGTTCTGGTAGTGTGGAGTGATATGAGCTCTACGTGAGTTCTCTGAAAAGGGCAGGGGCATTCTTCTCTGACCATGGACTGAGTGCTCACAGACAGAGAGACACCCACCCTCTTCTGCCACTTACATGCAAAGCTGAAAGGAGGGGATTGCTTCTTCTTGTAGAGGGGTTGGGTGTTTGTTTTAGCCTAATGAAAAGATCACAAATTTTGAACTACCCAACTGCAGCTTATTCCCCATTGAGCACATTGATCCAGGGTTTATCTCTGTGGCCATTATAGGAGAATTGGACCCTCTTCACAGCTTTGAGTTGGCCGTGGTTCATGGCCAGACTGAGCACACTGAATGAGCATTCTCAGAAGTGGTGCTTGGTATGCAGAGGGATTGGAGACTCCAGAAGGAAAGAATTACTCACTTATTTATTAACATTTTTCCCTGGTGGGGGTTCTGCGAAGACTGCTCAGGCTGTGTGAGAGGCAAGGGGAGAGGTGAAGGGAAGGCATGAGTGAAAACATGTCTGGTGGCACAGCAGGCTTTGCCATGCCTGGCTTTTCCCTGCAGGTGTTCTTCCATTAGAGCTTATTCCAACGGTCTCTTTCCCCATCTTTCCCAGGCAGGGTTGCCATCTGGCTTTTCTCCTTGGGTGTTATTTCTTTCATGGTGGCTGTGATAAACCACATGGAGAGGACTAGGAGGAGTGGAGGGAGGGGAAAACATGATCAAAATACATTGTATGAAAAACACTTTCCAATAAAAAATAATAAAAGAACCCTCTTCCCCCAGCAAATCAAACCAAAGCTCACCATTTTTTTCATGTCAGCAGCTTTCTACTAGCCATGAAGGCATGCGTGCCCATTCAGGTCCATGAGAAGTCCTTTTCCTCTTGTGCTTACCCCTCTCCGACACACACACACACACACACACACACACACACACACACACACCTTGTATTCCAGTAGCCAAGAGTTCACCTCTGTCAGTGCCCCATCAGATCATAGCGCTGTTTCAACTGTTTTTTTCTTTCCTCTCTCCCAATAGCTCAGTAACTGGAGACCACACCTCCAACCCCAGATGTTTGGAAGACATTTCAGGTCCAAATTATAACAGTTTCCTGTCATTAGGAAACATTGAATTATACTTTCTATCACAGAAACTCAAGAAATGGCATTTCACGGTGATTTTATTATATATTAAAAAAATAAAGTACACTGACTATACTGAGTGATGGGTTTCACCATGATATTTTCATACATGTCTACCATATATTTTTCTCATACCCTAACTTTCCTCTACTGCTCCCTCTTGTCCTCCAACTAGTCTTGTCTCAAATATTGCCATTTTTACTTTCCTCTCATATATACATTTTACGCATACATACATATACGATATGTATTGCATATATGATATGCAATCCAAACTTGAATAGAGGGGAAATATGATCTCTTTCTCTCTCCTCCCTCCCCTCCTCTGTCTCTTGAGACAGCATCTCATATAACTCAGGCTGGCCTCAATCTTACTTAGCTGAAGATACCCTAGAATTCTTCCTGCCTCTACCTCCCCAGTGCTGAGAAGATGGGTGGCTGAACCTGGCTTATTAGAGCTGACCCCAGGCTCTAACCCTAAAACTCTGGAAATACCAGATCCATAGCAACCCAGACCCATACCAACCTGGTTTTGTGCCATCCCAGATCTAGCCTGTGATCTCAGGGCTCCCTATGATGCCAGGGTTGTTAGCTGCCTGCTCCCTCCCTGGGAGGTCCTCTGGTTCTGCCAGCACACTTCAAGGATCAGGAACTTAGAATCTGAGCACAAAGGAAGAAGCACAGGCCAGAAGGCTATGGAGTGTTATGTGCCAACAGATCAAGTCCCTTCCAGAGATCTGCCTGTTGAATGGATAGTGCTGTCTTTTGTAGAAGTGCTGGGGCTGTGAGAGTGCAACCTCTGCATCTGACTGATGACACTAAACACTGAACTCAGGCTTCGCCATTTTTTTTTATTTAGATTAGAAACAAGCTTATTTCACACATCAATCCCAGTTCCCTCTGCTTCCCATTCTCCCATACCCCCCACCAACCCCCCATCCCATCCCCCTTCTGCTCCCCAGGGAGGGTGAGGCCTTCCATGGCGGAAATCATCAAAGTCTGTCACATTATTTGGGGTAGGGCCTAGGCCCTCCCCTATGTATCTAGGCTGAGAGAGTATCTCTCTGTGGGGAATGGGCTCCCAAAGCCCATTCATACACTAGGGATAAATACTGTTCCATTACCAGAGGTCCCATAGACTGCCCAGGCCTCCTAACTGACACCCACATTCAGGGGGCCTGGTTCGGTCCTATGCTGGTTTCCCAGTTGTC